AAAAGTAGATGCAAAGAGGTGAGGTCATGCAAGCAAAAGTAGATGCAACTGAAAGTTTGTAAATGAATAAAACAGACATGCAACTAAAGTCCCTCTGCCTACAGGAAGATAACAAAAATACACTACTACTCGAATCATCAGCTCCATAATGCTGTTTCTAAATTCCAATGTTTTTGTTATGGTAATGTGTAAAACTATTAAGCAACAGAAACTAAATAGATATGCACCATATAGATATTACAATCTAATAAATTGAAACATATAGTTCTATCCCCAGACCCTAACAACCAGTTGGATATACTGGGTATGTTTGTTTTGGTTTGAAACATACAGTTCTACATATAAGCTTGTCCCCTGTGAGTTTTATCAATGTTGCAAAATTCTCAAACAAACAACCAATAGATAAAAGAACCATCTACAAAAAAAGGCATGCTAGATAAAAAGAAAATATCCTAGATCATATAGGACATGCCATGCAAGAACTGAATGATCTTTCAGGTTTCATTTATGACCAGCAAATTCATACTACCTGAGAGCACTCGCACAGAACAACCAGTGCTCTCCTGTATCGACTTGATTGAAGATCCTTGCTTTCCAATCAGACTTATCGCTTGCATTGATGGCACCAACAATCGGATTGAGCAAAATGGAACGGATGCTATGCTCTCACTATCATTCTCCGGAAAGCCATTGACACGTTTGAATACCCTAATTACAGCATCCATTGCAGGTGAGAGAGGTGCCTCTGTTTCTTCTTTGCCAGATATTAAGACCTAAGGAAGTAACCAGTCAGTACAATGCAACTCGAGAGTAGAAAGCACAGACAGGGATGGAAAATAACAGCATATTAGCACTGGCTGTGAGACAAAACAATAGATAGCATGTAAAGGTTCGGCACTATAAACTAGAAGAGAGAGAAAGATGCAATTGACATTTAACAATTTCGCATGGTAAGGGTTATTTTTGAGGAGGCAAATCTTCAGCTTTACAGTCATTGACACAACCTCACATATATCAGTGGGACATGGCCAATGAGTGATTCTGGTAAGGCAGAGCCCATATCACAGGGTTATGACTCTTTTTATCCAAATACAAGCATCCCAACAATCAACAAATTAGAACCCAAATCATGAAATAGTAGTTACAATCAGTTTCCTTTCTAACTTCTCTGAATGCATTGTTATGTGCTTCACTGTCAGCCAAATTTAAGATACCCACTATTTGAGGAAACACCCATACCAGTCATAGACAACCTCAAACCCAGAGAGGCACTTGCGTAACAAGCTACATAAAAATCCCATAAACTTGCTTTCTCCCCCCCCCCCAAAAAATGGTCCTCTCTTAGAAGTTTCAACAGAGCACATATAAAAGGAAGTGCAGCTAAATAGGATGCACTTATGAAATTTGAAAGCAAAAGAAAGATCAGTATATGCAATGATAAAGATGAAGCACAAACAAACACGTATTAAACAAATAGAACAAACTCGTCGACGTTTCCCTCACAACCACCATTAGTATAAGTCTGGTTTTTAAGTCTAAAAAAATGAAAGTTTCAATAAAATAAAGCATAACCATATCTGATGGATGCCACCCCAAATAAAACATAAGTATTTATGGTGAACACTTCGCCCAATTCACACTGGAAGAGAATGCAGCGCTCTAACTCATATATCAGTTTTACACAGCATCACAATATGCTTACTGAGATCGGTAAAACTAAATCAAGATTGTCAAGAGATTAAATGTCCAAAAATGAAATGTTAAATGATATTGGTGAGTGTGTTCAAGTAATATTCACATCAAAACTTATAAAGCAAAAGATAATAGAAATGACTAGTCTTAGAATTATTTTTGGAAAGATATCAATTGGTAGAACCCCCAAGCCTATTCCGGTCTGGTCCGGTATGAAATGAACTTACATGAAGCAAGATGAAGACATGTATAACACATCATGCTGTAGGTATCGTTATAATACAACTACGAGCAATACTATAAATATATTTACATACGTGAACAATATATTTGCATATATGTACACAAGTTCCAAACCTTGAGGCAACGTTTTTGTTAGCTTCGTGCATATTTAACTCTTGGGGCCTATTTGTGAATGTCTACAAATGCAAGAAGAACATCTGTGACTCTGTGTGATTTGAATAGAAACAGAAAGCAGAGTAGCCTATCATCCCTCTCTTGTAAAAAAGATTAAAGATCATCAATAAAGCCTGACTTTAATCTACATTTATGGCAGAAGAAAACCAATATTCCACATCTTTGTTCACCAGATATACCAGCTATAGTATCTCTATGTTATTCTCTCCCTTCACATCTCTCGTTGCCTCCTAACTATTTTCTATCTCGTGGCTTGTCAGCAAGCAATGTAACAATCAGACGCAGCCCCAGAGTGAATGGACCTTTGCAGCAAAACTAACTATATCTCATTCATGACATAATGATAAGTTTATTAGAAGGGGTAACATAGTTACTTCTCTGGTGTATCGTCATCAGACATTAAAGTCCCTTCTATAGAGGCTGTCTCATAACCGGTTGACATGGAAGAGATGAATAATCTCCTCGTCATAAAGGTCCTTAGCTACAATATTTAGTAGGTATGTTACGACACAAAACATTAAGCCTTGATAAATGTTTCTTACAGTGATCAACAAGGCTGCTAAAAGTAGTGAGACAAAACAGCTCCATAGAAAGATCAGATCCAATCGACAAAGACTTTGGATCGTTTCAATCTTTTTGGATACGCTATTACACTTGTATCAAAACTATACATCGACTAAATAACTAATAAATGGTACTAGCTGATAGAAGAGTTCAATCTTCTAATTAGAGACCCAAGGAGAGGGGTTGAAGATTTGCACTTGGAATCGGGAATCAGAAATCTGGTAGAAGAGGGGAGGCATTGCGATGCGGTTGGGCTAAATTACTAAAATATTATAATCGCCCAAATTGGCTAAAATTAAAGGTATAAAGCCGTAGGGATTGAGCTAAAATATATAAGATTGGGTAAATGCTAAAACATATATAATTGGTCCCCAAAAAAGTTTGATCTCACATTGCACGGCCCTGGATGAGGCTCCTTGTGCTCTTTTGCAAAATACAAAGTGCAAAGTACGCCTATGACACCTATGAAGGACCCAGGGGTACCAAGCATCCGCTTAACCGATTTTCACAAGTAGAAATGTTTTTGGGAGTATGAAAGGTGCACATGCTAAACTTTGAAGGGTGCTCCGGGATATTAGAAAATTCAAGGAACATCAACCAAAAAAAACAGAAAAGTCCCTTGAAATAAACCAAAAACCCGAAAAAATCTCTTGAAATCAACCAAAAAACTTCAAAAAAATCCCTCGAATCAACCAAAAAACGGAAAAAAACCCCTTGAAACGATGGACTTCAGCTAAGAAGCACATCAGGCTTTCGCCTAAGATGTGGTCCTGCGTCTTGCTCAAAAGATCAACTCCATTTGAAAAAAAACATATTTTATCCCTCACATCAACAAAATTGACTTCTCCTCGGGTCAAACTGCATTGACTCCACCGAATCTAACCACAACTTTACGGGCCTTTGATCCACCTTAAAGGTGTACCTGCTCAGCAAAAATCATGAGTCTACTGTTGCACCTATGTGCATTTAGAGCTACACCTCATGCACAGTTTGGTATTTGCACCCTTCATGCTCACTTCTCGTCCCTCTGACCATCGGTCCATTGAAAAGATTACCAATTTAAGTTATGAAAAACCGTAACTTTTCACCATCTATTTCTATGTGGACATGATTTTTAAACAAATAATGCAAAATCAGCATTTGTTTCACTTCAACATTAAGCTCAACAAACCATGTTTAAAGTTACATGTGTTAAATGAATAAATGTACTTATGGGATTTACGAGATACACAATTTATCTAAACAAGTGCACATAAACGTCAGTCCCGAACTTTGCAAAATACTTTAAATGAGCATGGAACAGAATTTCCCCTGGAACAAGTGCGACAAAGGCATCTGCTTTGACAGTAAGCAGCATCATGTGCATATTTACCCTATAGGCACACTTTGCAATTTGCTCCTTGTAGCAAAAGATAAAGAGCCTCCCATGGGCTCGTTCGAACCGCATCCTTTTTGGATCAGGTTTGACACAGATAACTTTGTGTAGAATTTTAAGAGACCATGCAGAATGAATTCTCTCATTGCCTTAATGCTTGATGTACTAATACACCCACCACACATCAATTACTTGAACTTAAGAAATCTCATGACAAGGAGATCACCAGGTCCCCCCCCCCTTCTTAATGGTTAAGAAAAACCCTCTGAGGAACACATTCACATATGAAAAATACCATCAAAAAAGTAAACACACATTCTCTCTTTCGACAAAATTTTTTGTAGTCAAGTCCACCAAATAGGGTTAGTTTTTTTTCTCCAGTCATATGAAAGGCTACATCTACTCCTATAGAGATATGGTCTTTAAGGAATAGACGATATCAGGGAACTCCTGACGACTCATCAGTGGATTTGTCAAAAAGATGGGAAGACAGAACCTATATGAGGCAAGCCAGACAAGCATTTGACAAACTGTGCATGAGCTTTACTTTTCAAGCTCAACAGACTACAAAGTGATCCTGTGCCTACCAATTTTTCACAAGCCAAGCAAGCAACTAGAAGGTTTGTTGAAACCTTAAGCCCTAAAAAGATCAGAGAGTAGTTGATAAGACGGGCTCACACTTGCAGGCTTGCAGCTATTAATTTCAACTATGAGAAAAAGCATCAATTTTTATCATTTTTGAAGATTTGATTGGTCTGACAGTTCTCATACAAAGATGCATACTTGCCCTAACAACAATTAGTAGAGTCTTCAAAGAATGCCGATTCAAGTCAAGTTCCAAAAAAACCACCCTTGTTGAATACTCAAGTTCCATTTCTCTATGTTAAGATTGTCTAGCAATACAAAACCTCAGCAGGTAGACTACGTTTATCGATAGAAGTAGATAATCACTGAAATAGGCATCTACTAGTATCTATCACTTTTCTCTCTCAAATGCAAGTACTCAAACAGGCCCAAATAAAAAAATTTGTTTTTCTTGTTGATGTTTAAACTAAAATAATTATTAAAGGAGCTAAAGACTATGTATATGGGATTGCTTTACATTCTCTAATTGGCATACTCTTTTCTTTATAATAAGCTAAGTGCAACAAATGGACAACTTACTTGGCTGAGGAACAAAAAGAGACAAACAAAGTATTACAACTAACTTCACTTACATTTTGCAAATAGAATGTAAAACTTATGAGCCCTTATAATTTTGTTCAGCACCACGTACCCAAGAAATGAAGATGCCACTCGTCACTGTTAGTTTTCCAGCTGTTTCACTGCTGTGCGTGGAGTGCTTTTACTCTACTTGCCTAATTTCCCTAATCTCTAACATTAAATATAGGCAGGACTCTTTGATATAGTCACCTCAGTCTCTACATAGCTTAGTGTGGGTTTCTCGGATTCAAGAAACCCTTGACATAAAACAGGAGGAGTCAGCTTTTACAAACTTCATAACAAATAATTCCATCGGGTATCTGCTCTAAAAATAAGCAGGCAATTTTGCAAAACAGAAAATTGTTAAGGCTCAACTAAACCATTTTGAAACAACTTACAATGCGGTCAGGGGTACCAACAGGGGCGTCGAGTACACGGATACGAGCTTTCGTGTCTTCGCACATCTTCCTAATGATATCGCCTTTCCGTCCAATTATACTACCAACCTTAAGCACCGGCACTATGAGCCGAAAAACGCAGTCACCTGGCCACCCAGGCCACTTCTTTTCCGGAGACGCCGTTGCCTCTGCCGTAGCTGAGTCAGTAGCTGAAGGATTTTTATCTGCTGGCTCCGTCCTAGTCTCCAGCGCCGCTTCCGCCTCCGGCTTCGAGTCGGTTTTTACAGCAGTTATGGCAGTAGTCTCAGATTGTGTGTCGGGTTTTAGGGTTTGTGCGAGGGTGCCATTGTCTGAGGGTATCGTAGATGCCATTACTGTGTGCTTGTGCGGGCTAGGGTTTTTATGCAGGGAGAGAACACAGAGAGAGATGATGGAAGGGAGGTCTTACATAACATAAAAAGCGGGGATCTTTTTACTATTTTACCCTTTCCATTTGTAGTTTTATTGTATTGATATTTCAGTCCAACAAATTAATTAAAATAGTTATTTTTGACTTCTGGTTTTATCTCTAAGTAATTTTTCTCATAAAATATTAAAATATCAGTATCTCCACAAGTAGCAGGTCCACAATTTGTAGAGGTTCATTGGTTGAAAGTCTCACACTATTTACACCTCCCATCTTTTGCATATCTTGCTCATCCGACATGGCATGAATCATCGAACCTGCACTCAGGATTAGTAATGCTTTGAAAAAGGCAAAGAAGATACCCTCGCTCACACTTCCCTTCAATGTATAAAAAAAATTCTGAACCGCGTCCGCAAGTGCAAGGACCAAATCAGTAAAATAGATATTGGGACTAATTTACAGATTTAGTCCCTGCATTTACGGACCTGGTTCAGAAACTTTCTTTTTTATATTGACCCTTATGTAGTGGACCTGTCACTTGCAAGATAGTGACATTTTGATGATTTTAAAAGACAAATGGCTAAGAGCTGAAACCAACATCTGAAAATGGCTATTTTAATTAATTTCCCTTTCGGTTTTAGATAGAATTCTAAGAAAAATGAACAAATGAACCTATTCAAACCATCATCGGATTTGGATCTAACGATTGTGAATTATATCAATAACTAAATCCATGATTATGTAGGTGGTTACGAAAAGATCAAAATGCATCAGCGGAAAGATCAAATGAGCATTTTGTTTCTGATCGTGCCACATAAACGAATTAAATAGTATATTTGAAAAAACGTTTTGAACATACAAATGCTTAGGATAAGTTCTTATGTTCCATTTTATTAGTAAATTGACGATTCTAAAATAACTGTATGTAAGCACATGTTTATCATTTAACATCGTAGCCCTATAAAATGTTGTTTTCAATCTGTAAGTTAAACTCATACGTCAATTGTTCATGCGGTTCCTCAAAATGACATAAGACTTTGGAAAGTCGAGGTAAGATAAAGCCTAGTCCATCTTTGAACATATGTTATTCAACTTAATATGAACCTTTTGCGTTGATTCAGTATTAATGCTTATGCATATATTACTGGATGAATGATTGATTAAAATACATGAAATAAAACACAATGATCCTCGATATATAGGACCAAGTCCGGACCAATGGTCCTTAACTGGTCATGTTAAGATTAATAACAATTACATATAAAAAAATGAAACAGACAATTATTTTAAAAAGTAATCTTTCATTTAATTGTAAATTAATTAATTCTTTTGACATTTTATTTTCTATATATTAATTATTCTTCGTTTCTTCAAATTGATATTTTTATCTTTATCGTTTTGAATTAGAGATGGCCAAAAACCGGTCCCGGCCTTAACCGGTTCCGGTCCTAGAAAACGATAAAAACTCCAACCAGTTCATAACCGGCGGTCCACAACCGGTCCCGGTCTGTTCCGGTCCCTCTCCGGTTCCGGTTCCAGTCCTCCGGCGGTTACGGGCCGGGCCCATTTGGCCATCTCTATCTTCAATATTTTTATAATCTTCATTACTTTTAGGTTCTTTAATTAATCAAATTGAGTATAAATATAAAACAGTATTATCTATACTATCTTATAAAGCATTTGGCTAAAACTCTTAAAAACTCTTAAACTCGTTCATCCCTAAACGATTT